ATAAAGGCAGAAAGGGGATTAGTGACCACCAGGCAGAGAGGAAGAAGGCAGGTAATGCAGGAGTCACCTGTGGTTGTCCCTATCTCTAACAGATATATACTGTTCTGATTACTGTTCGGGTTTCGACTTCTAAGGGGATACCCAAGTCCATGGTATGCATTCAATAGTGACTGAGATTGGTGAGTGGTGAAAATAGCCTCTTTATTGAGCAAACGCAGTGGCACAGTTTCAGGCGTTGATGGAATCCAAAGTACAGTTTTACAGTAGCCTCTTTTATACACAGTTTTTACATACATTAAACTTTTAGCACACTGGTGTCTTATAGTTGTATCTATTGTACACAGGTTTGTGTGACATCTGTCCTGGGAAAGCAGGAGATGGTTTAAGCAGTTGCTAAATGCTGGCAGTTACTCCTGATGGGATTAGAATATCTGTCTGGTCTGAGCTTGCATAATTAATAGGTGTTAGTCCTTTTGTCATTAAAGTTAGTAATAGTAAAAATACTAGACCTATATGATCTAAATAAGTGAGAAATTATATATGTATTAAATAAAAGTTAGAGAGTATTAAACTTATCTCCTGCAGCTGGGTCATGAGATTTCATCTACTGTTGCTGGTTTTTGACAGTTCCTACACATTCATTCATGCAGTTTCACAGAAGCGCTGTTTTGATAGTAAGTTTCTTAAAGGAGGTAGCGGCCCTATTCAATATGCATTTAAAAAGTATAAATCCGTACATTAGTATAAGATGGTAGTCCTAAATAAAGTTAGAAATAGGCAGTACAGTGTGAAAAATTGGTAGTTTATAAGGAAATTTCAAATAGATAAAAAGCAGCAGACTGTAAGGACATGCTGATGGAGGAAACTGATATCCTGTACCCTATTCAGGTCCTGAGAGACGGTTACTAAGGGATAATTATTATTATAATCTTTCTCCAGTTTCGAGTGAGTCATGGAGACGCGATGGTGGGGATGGCATTGTTCTGAGTAGGTCATGGTATTAACACTTATTCAGGGGTAGACTTTGTACAGAAACAGATCTAAACATTTCTTGCAGCATGGAGCTGATAAGAATTGAAAGGTGTAAAGAGACAGTAATGGGTTGGCAGCTTAGGAAGAGATGTTTAATTTATTTTATCTTGTAAGAGTAACATGTACACAAAAATGCTGTTTTATGAATGAATAAGTGACAACACGGTATAATAAACATAAAATGCTTGTGAGTGAATTAGTAAAGAATCATCATACAATATCTAACAGTACCCAAGGTAGCTCTGGTGCACAAGTGAAGGAAAAAGAATGGCAGGGCTATAGTGACAGGGGATTCCACAGTAAGGAGATAGATAGGCATTTCTGCGGCTGCAAAAGAGATTCCAGGATGGTACGTTGCCTCCCTGGTGCCAGGGTCGAAGTTGTCTCTGACCAGCTGCAGGATGTTCTGAAGGGGAAGGGTGAATAGCCAGTGGGTCATGGTACATATAGTACAAATGATATTGCTGGAAAAAAAGGGGATAAGGTCCTACAAGCAGAATGTAGGGAGTTAAGATACAAATTAGAAAGCACGACCTCCAAGGTAATCATCTCAGGATCACGACCAGTACCCCGTCCTAGCAAGAGTAAAAATAACAGGATTTACCAGATGAGTACTGGCTGGAGAATGGTGCAGGAGGTCTGGATTCAGATTCCTGGGTCATTGGGATTGGTTCTGGGGAAGGTGGGACCATTACAAGCAGGATGGGTCACACCTGGGCAGGACTAACGTTCCTAGTTTGGGGGTGTTTGCTAGGGCTGTCAGGAAGGGTTTAAGCTAGAATGATGTAGGATGGAAATGTGAATCAGGAGACAGAGGAGAGAGAAACAAAGATAGAAACAAAAAAAAAGCAGAAAGAGAAGAAGCAAAAGTGGTAGTAAGAAGAAAAACAAAGGTAGAAAACAAATGGGGACAAAGTGCCAAATAGAGCTAAGATGACTGAAAGGTCAGAAAGACAGTATAAAGCCTTTGCGTCTTGTGAAACATTCGCAATATGGTAGATAAATTGGCAGTGTAAATTGGTATTAACTGTTATGATATACACTCATTCCTCCTCATCTACTGCTTCATTCCTCTGCATATGGATCTGAGTGCTTGTGAGGTCAGCTCCAGACCCATTTTTTTCTCCGACTATTGACTCGTCTGGTCTGATCGTGCAGACCTTTGCAGTAGTTGGGGATTTACATAGCAGCCATATCAATGGGAGGTCCATCCCCTGTCGATAACAATGATGCAGTGCAGTTACAATTACAGAGACATTGCTCCAGGGTGACCAAAGATGGAAGTTGAACATCTGGGGTATTCATTAATTAGGAAGAACAGAGGGAAAGGGAAAGAATGTGTGGTAGCATGGGGAAGGACATTGGCTTGGAAAATCATGATATGGAATCTGTATGGATAGAGATGAACACCAAGAGGCAAAAAAATATTTTGGGGATTGTTTATAAAAGGTATAAAATTTCAAGTCCTGCCAGATAATACGCCTGCTTTTTCATTAGAAAATGACGACTGGTGGTGGTTTAACCTGAGGGTCACTACGAGAGAGTGAGGGAGAGGCTGAGAAGCAGAGTCCTTCATGGTAACTTCAGCTGGTATTTGGTATCACTCTGGTATCACCTTGGTATCACTCTGTGTCACAAACCAGTTATCCTGCCAACTGAGCTACACTCCCAAACATTAGTGGAAATGTAAGGGAATGTATTAAACAAGCAGTCAGAAATGCATGCATTAAGGATAAAAATATAATCATGGGTGACTTTAATTTATATGTGGATTGATCAAACCAAACGAACAATGGCATTGTGGAGAAGGATTTCCTGGAGTAAATACGTGATGGTTTTTTAGTCCTGTAGCTTGAGGAGCCACCTAGGGCACAGGCTATTCTAAAGTGGATACTGAGCAATGAGAAAGGAAAGATCTGGTTTAGTAACATCCTTCCATCAGCAAGGTGACCAAAACCGAACGCAATACTCCAAGTGTGGCCTCACCAACATTCTGTAAAACTGCAATATAACTTCCCAACTTCTATACTTAATGCCCTGACTGATGAAGGCCAGTGTGTCAAAAGCCTTCTTCACTGCCCTGTCTACCTGCGACTCCGCTTTCAAGGAACCGTGCACCTGCACTCCAAGGTCCCTGTGTTCCACTACACTCCTTAAGGCCCTGCCATTCACCATGAAACTCTTACCTTGATTTGACTTTCTAAGACGCAATCGCTCACACTTAACTAAATTAAACTCCATTTGCCATTTCTAAACTCACTTCCTCAACTGATCAAGATCCTGCTGCAAGATCCTGTGAAGATCCTGTTTGATGGTAGATAGAATGTTTAAAGAACATGTGCAAGAATTACAACAGTTATTTATTCCTGTCTGGTGTAAAAACAAAAGAGGAAAGGTAATTTGGCCATGGCTTACAAAATAAATTAAGGGTAATATTAGAGACAAAGAGATGTATAAAGTTGCCAGAAAAAAAAAACAGCAAGCTTAAGGATTGGGAACATTTCAGAATTCAGCAAAAGAGGACAAAAAGTTTCATCATCAGGTGGAAAATAGAGTATGAGTGTAAACTTTCAGGGAACATAGAAACTGACTGTAAAAGCTTCTGTAAATATGTAAAGAGAAAAAGATTAGTAAAGACAGGTATAGGCCCTGACAATTGGAAGCCAGGGAAATTATAATGGGGAACAAAGAAATGGCGGAAGAGTTGAACACATATTTTGGTTCTGTTCACATAAAAGGTAACCTCCTGGAAATGTTAGGGATTCAAAGGTCCAGTGAGAGGACGGAATTGAAGGAAATCAGTATGAGTAAGAAAATGGTATTGGGGAAATTAATGCAGACAAATGCAGTTAATTGGAAGTTTCTATCTGCAGCCAAGGAGAGTGGAGCATGAATAAAGGTAAAGTAAATCAGAAGTGCATTTTGTTTCTGTTTCACTTTTAGCACATAACAAATTGATGGGGCTAGATTTTAAAGCATTCTGGAAACCCATTGGAAGAAATTCAATGACATGGATAAATTGGAGAAGCTGAGGTTCTGCTCTGTAGAAGTTTGAGAGGAGATCTGATAGGGATTTTCGAAAACAGGTGAGATCTAGATATTAGAGAGACAGAGAGAGGGGAGACTTCCCGTTAGTGGTAAGGTAAAGAAACAGAGGACTCTGACATACGTAAGGAAAAATGTTTTTGCATGTGTTGTTAGGATCTGCAGTGTGCTGCTTGAGGATGTGGTGGAGGCCGCTTCATTTGTGGCTTTAAAAGAGAATTGCAATAACCTCATATAGACAGAAAATTTGCTGGTTTACAGAAACAAGGCTGGGATTTGTACCAGCAAGTTTGACCTAGCAGAGTGCCAGAGTGCACAGACACATGGGCCTAATGGCCTCCTTAAGTACTGTAAACATTCTGATTTGTTTACTAATAAGTAACAAGCAAGCGCTACATTAAAAAAGGAAAGCATGCTTTGCAGAATATGATTAAATCTTTTACAGATCACAATCAGCGGAAAGCTTAGTACCTTATACTGTTTGCATGTTGATCTTGGAAGAGGATTTCTGCTGTTCACTGTTGGTGCTGAAATGAGAAGTTCACACATTTATACAATAATTCTACAAATGAAGAAAAGAAGCAAACTTCCTTGTTAGTAACAGTTTCACTTCACAGTTTAACTTCCTCATTTCTTGGAAAAAGTCACAGACGTTTACATGTAATCCATCTCGTTGTTTCATTCATCTTTATCACTAGTCTGTTTTCACACCAGTAGGATGAAATTTCTTCTTCACGGGACTGTTGAATAAGCGTGCACCCTTTTTGCTGCACCTTAATACTGTGTTACATTTGGTCACTTTTTATTAAACCATCTATTGTTTACTTCCTTACTAAGGAATGATCAACACTCGAGACAATGGGTCCAACGTGTTTTCAGTTATGGTATGTGTCTCTGTGAATGCTTTCCCTTTTCTGCTTTAGTGATGGTGAAGGCAGGAGAAAGGCCTTCTCGGGCTGCAGCACTGAGTCATTGAGTGGAGAAGTGGGTATCCTCACTCCTCGGCGGATTTCCTGGCGCCAGCGGATCTTCCTACGCGTTGCCTCACCCATGAACAAGTCCTCTGCAGCCATGCAGCAGAAAGGAACGTTGGAAGGTACAGTGTGCCAGAGATGTGAGCAGATGGTTTGTTTTAGGAGGACCCCCTTAACACCAATTTGAAATATTGCACGTTACAGATAATAGCTTGACAGATCATGCATTCAGTTAGATCTGCTATGAGCAGGCAGTTTTCTTTAGCGGTGGAGATAAAAATTTATCCCTTGATTTTTTAACAGTGGGTGGAGTATAATTGGCATTGAGTAAGCATTGATTAATGGTAACGCTACACAAAATGTGATTGAAGGACAAGGTGACAGAGGGAAATTAAGGAATTAGACACTAATTAGCTTAACATCTAATTGTATAATGGTATAATTAAATTTTGGATGATGGAACCATTTAAAATTTTCAGCTGGTCAGAGAAAGCCAGTATAGACTTGTAAAGGGTAGGTCATGCCTGACTGTTTAAGATGATGAGGGAATTTCCATATTTTGCTATGTGTGTGTTGACATCCAGAAAACACTTAAGTCCCTCATAAGAAAGGAGTTAGCTAAACTTGAAGTGCATAGAATTGAAGGCAAGTTGTGAACATGGTTTGGAAATTAGTGGAGTGAAGGAGACAAGAGTGTGGGGATAATGGGCAAGTACTCATCGTGGCAGAATGTGACTAATTATGCCTCCGAGAAGATCAGTAATGTATCTTCATAAATCATTGTGACCTTGATCAACTTTAGATGATGTGACTGAAAATCACAAATTTACCATTGATACAAAGGTAGGTTGCATTGTAAACTTTGTAGATGGAAGCATAAAATTACAAAGCAATATTAGTAGATTAAATTAAGTGAATGGGGAAAACAATGATAAATAGATTTATGTACAGGCAAATGTAAGGCCATCGATTTAACCTATAAAGAATAGAACAGAGCAGTTTTTAAATGGTGCAAAGCAAACGAGTAGGAGAGATCCAAAGAGGTTTGGGGTTCAGATACACAGCTCTTTAAAGCATAAACAGATACAGAAAATAGTCACAACGCTTTGTGGAATGTTGACCATTATCTCTAGAGGAAAAGAATACAAGGGGTAGAATCACAAAAACCCTGCTAAGACTAAACCCAGAGTACACCCAGCAGTGCACAGCACCACATTTTGGAAGGATAGATTAGCCTGAGAAAGAGTGCAGTGCAAATTTATAGAATAGTGCCTGGAATCCAATGGTTGGGCTACCCGGTGCAACTTTCTGGAATTTGCAAGGATAATGTTCGATTTGATTGAACTTTTCCAGATATTAGGAAACCAGTAGAGAGAAACTATTTCCACTTATTGGGGAGTCCAAAGCTGGGTTAGGTGGCAGGATATGTTAGGAAACACTACACGCAAAAGCTGTTGACTGTTTTGAACTCTTCCACAATCAACAATTGATACAAGACCAAAGGTTATACTTACAACTGAGTGTCATCATTTTTGTTAGTCAAAGGTATGAAGGGATATGTGGCAAGAGTACATATGTGTAGTCAGGTTGGATGGCGATCAGCCACGGTTTCCTTGAGTGGTGGAATGGGCTCAAGAGGATAAACATATTCCTATGTTCATACAATTGCACGGATTTTATGTTCAGTGCCAAGGTTCTTTCCTAACCTTCAAGGAAACTGTCCATAAAGACCTGAGAATCTGTGGGATTGATTGCCCCATTACAACATGTTTCCTAGCTACAGGGATATCCTGTATCGAGGAAGAAGTACTAATTGTCATTCATGTCTTAAGCATTTTGCAGGGAGCAGACTAAAGATTGGGGCAAATACTTGGGATTAAGGTAGAAACTAAAATATCAATCTTCAGGAGAAGAGTAATTTATATTCTATTAAAATGTATGGAGTTTGTTTTTGATTGAACGGAAGAAACAAAATTGCAGATATCGAAAATTAATTGTTCATGACAGACACATTATTCAGCAGTCATTATGACTTACTGCACCATTACAAACTCAATTACACCTCAATCAACAAGGAGTAATAATTGAAATTCAACTCAAAACCCTGATCTTGATGCTGGTTACATTTGCAAAGACTTGCAACAATATACGCTTTGGAGGAGCAGAGTGTCCCTTACAGAACCTCCTAGATATTCATGTTTAACTACACAAATGTGGACAGCGGATGTTGCTGTCAGTAGCACAAAGTAATGACGGCAAATGGTGACTGTTTTGTCCTCATGACAACTGCAAAATCTGGCCAATAGTTCTGCTTGATTATCTTTTCAGGGATCAAGGGAGAATTATGTACAAAGTTGTCCACCATTGAAGTAGCTGGGGTGGAGGTTATGGAGGGATATTCACACTTAGTACTGCAGAAGAAATGAAACAGACATGGTGAATGGCCTGTTTGCGTCATGGATTTCTTGTGCTTTTGCATAATATAATGGTGACCCTGGAAAAGGGAGTCTGTATTCTACTTCTTTGAAGGTAAATTGTCGGCGTAAGAAAATGGGGCTTTCTGTTTCTGTAGATCACCTTGATAGCATTGAGCTGCCACCACTTTCACCGCTCACTCCAGCTGTGGAGGAGGATCCCTTGGCCTCTCTGCTAATGGCGGATGATGCCCCAGTTGGAGAGAAGAAGAAACGCTCTTCTGAGGAGCTGCGGATCATGTGGAGAAAGGCCATCTGCCAGCAGATCCTTTTGCTTCGGATGGAGAAGGAAAACCAAAGGCTGGAAGGTCAGTTATCGTCAAAGTATAAAATGTATTCTCAAAGGCTTTTAAGATACCTGTTGTGGTCATAATAATGTATTTGAGCTTCAACGGTGTATCAAAGGAAGTGTTTTTCCTCAAAAGACATTTGGTAAAGAAACCGGTACCAATGGGGTCTCTATGGCACATGGTGAGCATGTGCTCATTCTGCATGGGATTGGTCGGGCCACTCTCAAACTCACAACTGACACCAATATTCGGCTCTGGACTTTCATAGGAAAGTAAGCTCAAAGCTGGTAAGAGGCACGTTTTCAATAGTTGCTCACAGTCAAATGATTTTGTCTAATTTTTTAAATGTTTTAACACAGTTGAATGTACACCTCTTAAAGGAACCACCCGAGGCTGCCACCAGTAAGTTGACATGAAAACAGTTGACTTACTGGAATGTGAAGCCAGGATGACAAAAAAAAAGTCTCCTTCTGCTTCCATGTTGAAATTGTGCACTGTTAGATGTGTATTGATCTGCCTTCCTTCCACTGGCTGCTTGCATCCCAATGACTGCTGAAGATCCATTCTTGTTAAAGTCTTGCCTCAGATCTGCCACTGCGATTAATTCAGGCAGAATCTGAATCCAAATCAACTTTCAGGCCTCTGTCTCTTTTCACTCATTATCGCTTCTCAGTAGAGTGCAGAGGAAATTTATATCATGGAGAACCCGGCAAAAAAATTGTCTCAAACAAACGTAAGAGTCATCAAAAATTGTGATCCCACACCCCAAACAATGGAAACTGATACTTCTGTCTATTTTCCTCTGTCTCATTTCGTACCCCAGTGAAATTTGCCCTCCTGCTGCCTAAATTACTCTGCCTTCTGAAATGATGATGGTGTTCTCAAATGATATTCAAATATTTAACGATCAACATCACGGGGTGAGGTGAAAGTTGTCTCCATGATTTATACCAATAATGGATTGGAATTAGTTTGATGAGTCACATGTTAGAATGATATAATTAACCGTAAAAGTCTCCAGATCTGTCCAGAGGTTTATCTGAGGAGTCACAGCACTTTGTTTTCTCAGTGAAGTCCGAGGGCGGAGCTGTTAAAACACAGAGCATATAATAGTTCTCAGGGAATTCTAATGCAAATGATTCACCATTTGACTATTCACTCCTATAGAAGGCATAGGTCAGAAATTGCACTCCATTTGCCTGGGTGCAAAAACAATCAAGAAACTTGTCACCACTCAAAACAAAACATCAAGATACTGGCAGCTCCATCTAAATCCTTGAGCTTTACTACCTAGAAAGACAAAGGCAGCAGATACTTGGGGACATCCCTGCCTGAAGGTTTTCCTCCAAGCTACAGACACCCTGACTTGGAACTATGACACCGTTCCTTCAGTGTTTCTGTTGAACTCCATCCCTATCAGCTCATTGGATGTACCTACACCAAATACACGGCAGCAGTTCAAGAAGGCATCTCACCTCCACCTTCTCAAAGGAGTGCCTTTCCACTATGGCGGAAATCTCTTGAATAATTTTGCAAAAACATTTCTATCAAACCTGAAATTATCAGCTGTAGGTGAATAATTTAGTGAAGAATCTGGATATTACTTACATTTCATGTTGGTGTAGATTTCAACAGCAGCGTATTCTTGTAAACCCTTCACACATACGTCAACGGAAGAGCACTGCATGATTTGTCTTTTTAAGAATTGTATAAAGTTTGCAAGGTTTTGCTCCAATCCTTGAGCATTGAAGTCAGTCCTCAAAGGTCAAAAGCATTTTGATGCCCTGAGCATACGCTTGCATTGATGTGACTCTCTAACATGGGAGTAAATCTTCAGTAAACTGTACCCAATGATTGTCCTCACGAGGCTATGGTTTATAATTTAAAAATAGTATTAATAATTAAATGAACAGGTTAGGGAATCTTGTCTCTCTTGAAGTTGGTCACAGTAACTGAATCCTTTTGAACCTCTTGCCATACTTCATGTTGCCTTGGAAATTTGTGTCAGGCTTGTTGGTGGGCAAGATGTTGAAATGGTATTCGTTAAATGTGCTACACACGTAGATTGGAATAACTCCAGCAAGGTCTCTAGTTAAAAATCCTGATCTTAAACAGATGTTTAAAGCATATCTGTTTGTAAAGTCTCATATTTCTAAATCTTCCCTATGAAATTAAGAGACTCTCAATCTATGCACAGTCAGCACACCTGCTTTTTCCATTGTCTACGGGTATGAGCTTCCAGAATGTCTTTTCCAGTGAATCACCCTGCATCCCCTTATCCTGGCCAGGTGTACCACAGCAACCAGGGCTTGTTGGAATGAGGAGCAATTCACATGACCCCCTTCGCCATCCATCTTACCTTAAATTAAAGAGACAGCCTAAAAATACAGTGGTCTTATAAACTTTGCATTCCCGACAGTCTTTCAGATGAATGCTTTAACCAAGGCCCCATCTCCCTTTTCAGGTAGATTGAAATTTTGCCACAGAGTTTTCTGAGCAAAGAAGGGTAGTTATACCTTTGGTTATGGCCAGCATTTATGCAGAAAAACAGATTTTCTGTTTATTGCCATTCATGGAAATTGTTCTGAGCTAATTGGCTGCTGTGTGTCCTATATTACTATAGTGACTACAGTTCAAAAGTAGTTCCTTGGCTGTAATGAACTTTCAGAGGTGAAGCCATGAAAGGTGCTACATAAATGCAAGTCTTTTCTTTGATGACTTGGTGTTCATTTGATAACTGTAAAGTAATCCACCTGTCCATTCTGACATGCTTAATGACTGGAATGCAAATTTTTTTTGTCGCTTTGTATCTACATTCACCAAAAGAAAGAGAGAGAGGACCAAGTGTGAGAAAAACAGGCTTAGGTGTCTAGGTCCACACAGGAAGACTAATGATAGGGCTGGATATAAGGACAGATCAAGGTATCCAGTTCCTTGATCAGGAACCGAGTGCCTTCAATCAAAGGACATGCCTTATCCTGAGGTGGCATGTAGTGCACACCACATGGTGACAGGTCCACAGTTAGTGAAATAACTCCATGAAAGCCAGTAGCCAGTCACCAAGCCACCCTTTATTTACATGATGCTGACCCCGCTAGCTCAGAGCCAGCTACTAGAGTGAGGGGAACCCCTGACACCCCTGTTTATAACTGTCAGGTCTCCAGGATTGGACCAGATTAACAGCCCCAGTCAGCGAACTCATAATCTCTGAGGTATGTGGCTGACCAATCACTACTACGTCCCTCTCCCTCTAAGCTCTGGAATGTAAGCCCCTTCCTTTTCCTGTATTTTCTCCTGGGACATTTCACACCAGGTCAGTTCTTACGACTCTGCCATGGATACTGGACTGTAGCCCGCCTCTTGGCTGAAACACATCTTCCAGCGGTAATGGCATCAGGGCTGTGAAACCTATCGTGTCCTCAGAGGTTTCTTCAATGCTGGGCAGAGGGGGAAAAGCCATGGATTCTGACAGCCTTGCCGGATGTTCTGAGGTGTTGGGTAGGTTTTGGTCCTGCCCCATTTGCAGGGTAGCAACTTTCATGTGGTCCGCATGCTTGTTCAGGACTGCCACTCCTACCTGAACTTTGTACGTCACGGGACCTGACCTCACGTTGACCATGCCTATACTTTTGCACATAAGGCAATGGCATTAAGCAGGCTTTGCAGAATTGTGGAATTGCTTTTTGGTCAACATGTAAGGTGGCTTTGGCCCCTTTGATAGTACCTAGACCTTCCTGGAAAACTTTCTGGGTATTTAACTAAAACGTCACTCTGGCAGCCATTTTCTAGTGGAAACTATGTGAATCTTTCCCAATAAATTTCATCCCATCAAGCTTGGGCCTGAGCCTTTTATTACAATCAGCGGTAACTGAACCAGATGCTTCTCATAAGAGACCAGAACTGAAGTTGAACCCTTAATCTATAAAGGTTACCCAGTATAGGTTTTCAACCTGGCTGAGGTTTTATGCAAACTTAAGGGTTGGTGTCCAGAGGGAATTTTGGTAAAGACTGGTTCCACAATCAGTGACCTAGTGTCCTTCTGTTCAGGATAAATCCTGAGTGATACTATGCAGTTGTCTTCAGTCAAGTGATGTTCCCCAAGCTCAGTCGGCCCAGTGAGGGTGTCCACTTCCATTGGCATAAGCTGTAGTTCATATGCTCCACTTGCCACATTTTCTAATGGCAAAGCCAGTTGTAGTGCCAGTTTGAAGTTCAGTTGGGCTTCAGTTAGTCAGCCCTTTTGTATGGTTACATCATTAATCTTACATAGCAAACAGTCTCTCAGCATCTCATTAAGGGTTAAACCAAAGTCACATGCCTCTGCCAGTCATCTTAAACCTCATCAGATACAGATTTCCCTGGTTCTAGTACTGTCGAGTAAAACTGATAACATCACAGAATTAGAAGAGTCTTGGAGTCACAATATTCCTTAACTAAATCCATCAACTCTTGAAATGTTTTACTATCTGGCACTGCGGGAAAGTTAGGCTGCTAATAAACGAAAAAGCTGCAGGTTCATCCACTGTTAGGAGAATTACTCATTGCTTTTCATCTACCGCAATGTCATTTGCCTAGAAAAATAACATTCTGGGCCTGGTCTTCGAAAGCAGGATCAAATTAGTGAAGCTTTCCAAATAGCGGCATGATGCCAGAAATGCTTACCCAAATTCAAAGACTACTGTTGTAAGCGAATCTCTTCGGGGGCATGTTTTTCTCTTATCAGCACTGAAATAACTCCAAAAAGACTGGTACTGCTGTCACCAAGTCACCCTTCATTCACATGTGCAAAGTACAAGACACTGACCCAGCTAGCTCAGAGCCAGTCCTAGAGTGAACAGAATCCCTGACACCCCTGTTTATATTTGTCAGCCAGGGCTCCCTGATTGGGACTATTTAACAGCCCCAATCAGGGAACCCATACTCCATGAGGTCCATCTGGCTGACCTCATTCCAACCACTACAATTGGTACCAGCAGCAGAGGGATGGAGCTGTTAAGTGACTCTTAACGAAGGCCCTCATTTGATGGGGACTTTAAGCTTCTCAATGCAAATCCTAATTCCAACAGATGGAAAGGTAGTGCCATCACTGTGCCCCATTAAGTGCCATTCCTGCCTTCAAACTCACCAATCGTGGGATCGCGTGGTTCCGACCGCTGATTTTACAACCCGTCCAATGGGGGCAATTAACTTTTACATGAGTGAATGTTTGTTTTATGCCTACCTGATTATAACCTCTGTTAAAATTTCTAAGGAGTATTTGACAGGGTAGATGTAAAATCATTGTTCTATTTGAGACACATGTTCCCTCGACAAAAGGCAATGTTTTGTCAGTGGTAAGCCGTTCCCAACAACAGGACTGGAAATGTATGCCACTTCCGCTCTCTTGCATTGTCCCATTGCCAACAATTCAATTCATAGTGACTGTGGTATGCGCAGGAACATGTTATTACATGACAGTGAAAGCTTTGCCACATCCAGCTGACAAAGCTACAGCCAAGACTGGGCTAGAAAGCTCCTCCTGATCGAACTAGGAGGCTCTCTATTAATGCAAGAATATTCCTGTCTAACTCGATTGCCATTCATTCAAGACTTATTGAGAGCATTTATTGAGAGGCATGGATGTTTTTCAAATTTAAATTTTATTTGCAAGTAGTTCACGTCACATTGGTATCACTGTAGTCATGTGCATCATTGTTACTTGACAAGGCTAGCTTAGTCAGAAAGTTAAATATGCTGGCACACCCCCGTGGTTGGCACATACTGGTGACTGCAGGGGAGTTAGAGACACTTCCTTTATCGTGGAAGGAACATTATTGTGATTTTGCCTACACTCTTTATTGAATATTCATATTAATGCCTAATGAAATACACACCATTCTGTGGGACAAGGCTGACAAAATTAAAAAAGTTTTGCATTAATATTATTCATACTACAAGTGGTGACATCTTGCCATGTATCATGAGGTCTGACATGCCGTTGGCTTAATCCTTATATTTCAATCTGCCTTCAGAGGTTAATATTTTGGCTCCAGCTTAATGCAATCCCCCCTGTAGATCGCATGCTCTGTTCTTGCAGGTGCAAAACGTTAAGTTTGAAGAAATTGGGATGAAATTCCCCTCCCTTCCTAGCTCTCTCTGAATGTTGTTCTGATATATGGTCACAGTTATTAACTGGATGGTTTTTTTTTAATCTGTATTTACAGCAAGTAGAGATGAGCTTCAAATAAGGAAAGTGAAATTGGACTATGAAGAGTTTGTGCTTTGTCACAAAGAGGTTTCTACAGTTTGGGAAAAAATGCTTGCCACTCCAGGAAGGGCAAAGGTGAAAGTGGACATGGAGAAGGTCCATGCTGCACTTAGTCAAGGTCAGTGCTTGATTACTAACTTTGTTCCCCACAGCACCAGACTCATCCTAGTCTGGGCACCTCTCTGAGACATCAGAATTCAGTGTCTATACAAAGGTCTTTATAGATTTGTGAGGGGGAAGATTGATAGAAACTGATTTATTAAGAAGTAGCAAACAAAAATTCAAATCAAACATACAATTTATAGCCATTTAATTTAAAATCTGAGACATTTCCTATTTTAAATGCAATTCAAAATGCCAAAAATAATTGTTTAGAATGTACTGATTTCTGAAGAAGGGTCCAGACCCGAAATGTCAGCTTTCCTGATCCTCTGATGCTGCTTGGCCTGCTGTGTGCATCCAGCTCTACACCTTGGTATCTCTCGTTTAGAATGTACTATTGCTTAGAACATATGGTTGCTAGAACATAAACAGGCTATTTAGCCAAACAGGTTCTAAATGGGGTGGCATGGTGGCTCAGTGATTAGCACTACTACCTCATAGTGCCAGGGATTCGGGTTCAATTCCACCCTTAGGCGACTGTCTGTGTGGAGTTTGCACATTCTCCCTGTGTCTGCGTCAGTTTCCTCCAGGTGCTCTGGTTTCCTCCCACAGTCCAAAGATGTGGAGGGTGGGTGGATTGGCCATGCTAAATTGCCCACAGTGTTCAGGGATTAGGTGGGCTATAGGGGGATGCATCTGGGTGGGATGCTCTGAGGGTCAGTGTGGACTTGTTGGGTCGAAGGGCCTGTTTCCACACTGTAAGTGTTCAATGAAAATTAACTTTTACATGAGTCTTTCACTTGACTTCATCTCTCTGTGTTGACATATCATCCTCTGTGTTAGCTGCAGCTCAGATGATGGCACTCTTGTCTTTGAGTTAGAAGCTCATAGGTTCTAGTCCTCCTTCAGGACATAAATGTAAAAAGCAATGCTACTGCTCTGCACAAGAGGGAGTGCAGTTCTGTCAGATGTGCCATTTTTCAAATGACACCACAGCCCTCTCAGGTGAATATCATGATACTATTTCAAGAAAAGAGTAAAGGAGTTATCCCTGGTGTCCTATTAATATTTATTGTTAAAGTAAAGAAAAAGATTAGCAAGGCATGAACAAATTTTTGTTTGTGGAAATGTACATGTGCAAGTTGGCAGCTGTATTTCTTATCTTGAAACAATGTCTCAACTCCATTTGCTGAATAGTAGTTTGGCATGTCCAGTAGTCATGAAAGGCACTACAAAAATACAAGTTTATCCCTTATAATAAACTCTTTTGGCATAGGAAAGAGACATTGTTTAGTTTTGCAAAACTCAGAACTGCGATGCTGGAAATTGGAAACGAAAACAGAAATTGCTGGAGAAACTCAACAGGTCTGGCAGTGCATTAAGAACTATCAATGTGATGTTGGTCACTTTAATTTCCCTGCTCCCCTCACCCATTCTAACCAATCTGCCTCTGAACTGACTGCACTCTGTGTTCTCAGATCCAACCCTGACTTTGTTATTAAGCCTACTGACAAGGGTGGTGCTGTTGTAGTCTGGCGTACTGACCTCTACATTGTGGAGGCTGATGCCAGCTTTCGGACACCTCCTCCTATTTCCCCTGGACCATGACCGCCATCATCGAAGACCAGGCTGTTGTGTCTACAGACTGTCGCTGACCTCATTTCATAAGGGATCTCTGCCCATTCCTCCCCACGTTGTCACTACCCCATAGCAAACCCACCACCACCCTCCTCTACCTGGCCAAGCTCGTCCTCACTTTGAACAACTTCTCCTTTAACACATCTCACTTTTTTCAGGTCAAAGGTGTGGCCATGGGTACCTACATGGGCCCCAGTTATGCCTGTCTCTTTGTGGGTTATGTGGAACATTCCTTGTTCCAGTCCTATTCCAGCCCCCACCAACAACTCTTTCTCTGGTATATCAATGGCATGATCAGAGCTGCTTCTCTCCCTAGTCCGAAATTGGAAAAATTCATCAATTTCACTTTCAATTTCCATCCCGCACTCACTTTCACCTGATCCAACTCTGACTCCTCTCTCCCCTTCCTTGACATCTGTTTCCATTTCTGGGGATAGACCAGCCAACAGTATTCATTACAAACTCACTGACTCCCACAGTTATCTTGACTATACATCCTCACACCCTGCTTTCTGTAAAGACTCTGTTCCATTCTCCCAGTTTTTCCATCTCTATTGCATCTGTTTTGATGATGCCACCATCCATTGTCGGGTGCAGGGGGTGGAGGGGGGATCTCAGAGATGTCCACCTGATCCACTGCTCCTCCACTCCCAACACCTCCCCACAGCACTTTCCCATGCCATCTCAGAAGGTGCAACACTTGCTAACTTAATTTCCTCCCTTCTCAGTATACAAGGTTCCAAACACGCCTTCCCGGTGAAGCTGTGATTTACCTGCACTTCGCTCAATCTTGTCTATGGTATTCATTGCTCACAATGTGGTCTCCTCTACACTGGGGAGACAAAATGCAGACTGGATGACCTCTTTGCAGAACACATACATTCTGTCTGTTAAAATGGCCCCAAGCTTCCAGTTATTGGCTATCTAGCTTGCTTCTTCCCTGGCTTACTATCAACTATTCCTTAATTTTCGCTCTCTGGAATCTCTCTCCACCGATCAGCTCCCCCACCCCAAACCTTCCCCCAAGCCACTCCTTCTCTTGTACCACAATGGACAAATACCCCTTTCTCCCAGATGCAATCAGTTTTGATGAAGGGCCACTGGACTTGAAATGTTGACTTTGTCTTCTCTTCTCAGAAGCTGCCAGACCCGCTGAGTTTTTCAACAATTTTTGTGATTGTTTGTTATGGTTTGTTTGTCATTGAATAAAATGGCAGTGTGGAGTTGGAAGGTAGTTCATACAGTGATCTACTTTTGTGTGACAGGTGTACCAAAGGCTCGGAGAGGAGAGATTTGGCAATTCTTAGCCGAGCAGTACCGCTTGAGACACCGGTTACCGGAGAAACAGCAACCGGCAGATATCTCATACAAAGAACTTTTGAAACAGCTGACTACTCAGCAACACGCTATCCTGGTGGACCTCGGTAAGAGACTACGTTACTGATGCGGTAGATTGTTAGTTTTACGGTATGGTCACTTAGGGATCGGAACAAGAATATGTTGTATTTATGCAGCACCTTTAAAGTGATTAAATGCCTCACGGGTACTTAACATTCGACACTAGAAACATTGGGAGATTGATAGGGTAATGATCAAGAGCCTAGTAAAAGAAGTAGATTTTTAGAAGAGTTTGAAAGGAGAAGGAAAGAAGTAGTGAAGTAAAGAATAACTATAATGATTTGTTTGCCCAGCTCATTAAGCAACCTGGGGTGGGTAGCAAAAGAAGAGAAATTTGGGCCAAAGCAATTTGTTTTTCCTCTCTGCATGAGGATTTTGTGGCCAGTAGATGGTGATATTGCACGTTTTATCTGAATGTAACAACCTTGAATAACTGCAGTTTCAGATTTGTCATTTAATTTTCTCCTTCCTCTCTTGCTTTCACCTTGCTTGCCTTTTCACTGACATGTATCTTTCTTTGCCAGTATAATTATTTCATACTATTTTCTGCATCCCATTTATTTTTCCAATTTCTTTTTCTGATTGCTGTGCTTTGATTAGGTTTTATTTTTGAATTTATTCAGTTTCAGCTCATGTGTTCTTTTTCACCTTGTAGCTCTTTGTTATCTCATCTATTTTCCCAGTTAATCCTTTGTATTCACTTCATCTCTATCGCTGCTTCTTACTGTTGGATACCCCCAAGCCATTCCCTGTCAATTGCTGTGTTAAAAAACTCACCTTGGACTTCAAATCGCTCCATGGTCTAACCTCTTCCCATTCTAGAGATGGTCATTCTGTCATGAATATTTTGTTGTGTAAGGGGGTCAAGATCTGATAGGGTTAATGCTGAAGAGTCCCTTAAGTGCCACATGCTATGATGATGTCATGTTGGTTTGGTGAAGAAACAGTTTAGGATCTCAAAGGAGTGACACTTATTATCTGTGCCTTTCTCATAGTCCTTGTAACAATATCTTATATTAATGTAACTTGAACCTAGTCGCTGTCAAGCAAGAAACTACATCTTGTTTAAGACAATGAATGGTAGGTCCCTAAGGAGCACTGAGGAACAAATGTACAAATCCACAGAAGATGTCTGCGCGGGTAGACAGGGTGGTGAAGAAGGCATTCGGGATGCTTGCCTTTATTAGCCAGAATATATGCAAGGAAATCTTGTTACAACTTTATAAAACATTGATGAGACCACAGATGGAATAGTGTGTGCAGTTCAGATCGACACTGTATCAGAAGGATTTGATTGTCCTGGAGAGGGTGCGGAGGAGATTCACCAGGACGTTGCCTGCAATGAAAAGTCTCAGTTATGAGGAGAGACTGGATAGGCTGTGTTTGTTTTCCTTGCATAAAAAGAAGCTGAGTGGGAGGGGAGGGTTTTTCTGATTGAGGTATACAAAATCATGACAGGCATTGCCAGAAGAGATCATGAGAATTTTTTTCCCCTTGGCAGACATCCCTTAGACCAGAAGGCATAAGTTTAAACTGAGGACTAAGTGGTTTAGAGGAGATTTGAAGAATTTCTTTTTCATCTAGAGGGTAGTAGAAGTATGGAATGTGCTGCTTGAGAGAGTGCTGGAGGAGGGTATTCTCACAACTTTTAAGACTGATCTGGATGAGCATTTAAAATGCCAAGATATAAGAAGGTAAGACCAAGTATAGGTTAATGGGATTAGTGTAGCATGGTGTTTGTTAGTTGGAATAGACATGGTAGGCCGAGGGCCTGTTTCTATGCTGTATGGCTTCATATCAAGAGCCTGTTCCCATTAGATTATCAACTGCTTTTTTCTCTACCACACTAGACCAAACACTGCAGATCCAAGCAAGGCCCTGTAGATTGCCACCCTGAAAGAGCATGGTGGCACAAATCTACTCATAATGAGAAATAGAACAGAGAGCTTATTCACGTTGAGCACAGGTACAGACTGCTTGTGCAATGTATTTTTAGTGGGAACCTCTCAGTTACACAGTCGAAGAATGAGAAGTCAATTTGTCCTGTCCAGAATCCAAACAATTCCTGGGCCGTCTGTCCATTGAAACATCCAGATGATCTTGTAGCATTCCTGTCAGGGTATGTTGCAAAAATATGCACCTTCTAATCAGAAGATCAGGGCCTGAATTGATTCAGCTCAACCTTGGATGGCAAGACTAAAAATGACACCTTGTGCTAGTAATTGACACTACATTCAACTGATAGGGAAATCTCACTAACATACTGTGAGAGAATTATATATAATTCATTGCTTCTCCAATACAAGAAAAATAAGATGCTGGATAAACCAAGGCAGCAAAGCATAAAACATTTCGGTTTTTTTCTTGTTTTTGACAGGACGAACATTTCCCACCCATGCATACTTCTCGGCACAGTTGGGAGCTGGGCAGCTCTCATTGTTTAATCTCCTTAAGGCCTACTCATTGCTGGACAAGGAAGTGGGCTACTGCCAGGGCATTAGCTTTGTTGCTGGGGTCCTCCTCCTGCATACAAGCGAGGAGCAGGCCTTCGAAATGCTCAAGTTCCTGATGTATGACCTAGGCTTCCGGAAGCAGTACAGGCCCGACATGATGTCTTTGCAGGTATTGTGCTCATTGTTCAGTTTCTAACAAGCAGAGTTCTTTCAAATTACAATGCAATCAGTATATTTTGAAAACTGCATTTGACCTGTAACATTCGCGTTCGCACAGCTTGCAAACAAAATCACCATGTATTAGCTTGGAGTTTACGTATGGAAAGTCCGCTCCCCAGCAACATTCCTTCTGATTATTGACAGTGCATGGCAATGCATACGTAGTGACTTCAAGGGGCCAATGCAGGCACTTTTGGCCTATTGTGTAGCTGCACAGCTTAGAGGAAACACTGCGGTTCCACAGGATACATAATTGTCATATTCAGTCAGAAGAGTCATTTAGCACTGTGACCTGTCTCCATACCTTTTGCATCTACAGTTTGAGAATCATTATTTATATTTTCCAAAGGTGGCTTCAACAGTTAAAGTAGGCCAATTTCTAACAAAATTGTTGTGGAGTGTGTGATTTGTTGTATAAAGCATTAGCCCTAATGCATCTTCCATGAGCTAACTTAAAATGACAGCCATGACTAAGTACTTCTCAATAATTTTAAGAGAACCTTTTATTACCAAAGATTTTGTCAAAAGAAACCCACTGATTATTTAAGCTTTCAGAAGGCACTTGACATCTCCCTCACAGAATCACATGATTCTTACAGTGTGGAACGAGGCCATTAGGCCCACTGTGTCTGTGCTACCCTTGTTGAATTAGGCAGGTTACAATCCACTGCTGCTTTCCCATAGCCCTGTGCAGTCTTTCTTTCCAGTTATCTCTTGTATTCCCTTTTGATTACATCGAATAAATGTGCCTCCACCACACTCTCAGGCAGTGCATTCCAAATGTGAACCACTTGCTGCGTGAAAGAGGCTTTCCTCATGTTGCCTTTTTTTTGCTGGTCACCTTAAATCTGTGCCCCTTGACCTTGATCTATCCATGTGCCTCCGTATGTTTTGAATATCCTGATAAAATTGCCTCTCATTCTGTTCTCCAAAGAAACCATGCCAACCGGTTTCTACTTTTACATGTGGAGTGGTAGACTAAGTCATTCTTAGTCATTCTAAGGCATACTAAGCCTAACCTCCTCCTCAACCTCTCCTCTCACCTAAGGCATAGTGACCCCCAGGTTAAACCACCATCTCTCTAATGAGGGAGCAGCCCTATGTTCTGGTAAGACTATGGCAACTTTTCTTTATTTTTTCTATGTCATATTTGTGGAATGGTGTCTTTCCTCCTTGATTCATCACACTTTTACTTCCGTGTGGATGTGGCAAAAAATAGTAGTGATGGGAGATAGGATCTGAGAGTTTTCTACTGCATTCTAACCAGTGCTTTATGTTTACTCTATCAATACTGTTCATAGTCAGAAGTCACACAACACCAGGTTATAGTCCAACAGGTTTATTTGAAATCACAAGCTTTTGGCACGCTGCTCCTTCGTCAATACTGTTCATGACTTTGAACACCACTTTAAAATCTCTTCTTAACCTTGTTTCCTTGAAGGTAAAGTCACGTCTTCTCCAGTTTTTCCACATATTTTGAAGTGCCTCATCCGCAGTACCATTCTAGCAAATGTTGACCACAGTCTCATCAAAACTTTGTGTCAGGTTTATGGGTGAAGGAGAATGTGAGAACACCGTGGGAATGAATTCTAGACAGTGATGGGCTGGAAACACCAAATCAAAAATTAGAATAACTAATTTGTATGCACAGTTTGTATTTTTTAACATGATTATTCAAAGAAATTTCAGCACTGAAAAATAGTTGAACTACATGGGGCATTTTGATTGCAAGAAACGCTCATGATAGTTATAGCATGAAGAATATTGCTTCATGGTAGAATGTCCTTAACCTTTTTAGTAACTGAGCCCAGAAATTCATTACAGAATAGATGCAAAAGAAAAATAAATGTGAATGTAAACTAACGCAATCAGAAAAAACATGTCTAAAATTCCTTGGGGAATGGATAGAACTCACTTTGAGCCCTTCTGATGGAGAGAGTATGAATGTAGTGGCAGGCAGGTGTAAATGAGATGGTGAGGGAGTGTGAATACAGATTCACAGCTACATTTCCTCACAAAGTTTCCATGAGCTACTCCATCCCTTTGTGCAGACTCACCAACATTTCTAGTTCATGCAAAAAGCCTGGAATGATTTCTGAAATACTAGTTACAACAGTGTTGGGTTGCTCCAGGCAGACAGAACAAGTTGGGCTTTCATGGCTCCAAGTATCTTGACGTCCTGTGTCAGAGGAAAGAGATGAAACCGCCTCAAGAAGAGACATTTCAACTGATGCTGTACTGTGTCCCGATGATAGTCACAGAATGGTTCATACACGGTCCCAGGATCTATTCACCTGTCTGCACCTTTCAATCAAAGAGCAACTGGGTAAAGAAAGGGCAGAAAATGAATTCAAAATGTAGCATTTGTGCTTCACAATTCAGTCAGTTTGGAAAAAAGTTGCCATTTTCAAATAAGACATGAATTGCTGTTCATTTCTCATTAGAAAATCTGATGTACATTGCACAAAACAGCCATAAACTGTGAAACTTATCCTTGCCTCCAAAATGCCACCTCAGTGTTTGGCCAACTAAGGAAAAGAGCATTTAAGGCCCAGAATTGCAAACCTGAGACTATGTTTATGGTTCTACTGGATAACAGTGATCCTCACACTCCTATTATACTTTGGTGACTAGAACAGGACTGTCAGAGTATTGGAGAAGTACCAGCGGTGGTGTATTTGCAAGAGCCTCCAAATCCAGTGTCAAGACAAAAACAGAAGTTGCTGGAAAAGCTTGGCTGGTCTGGCAGCATCTGTGAAGAAAAAATCAGAGTGAATGTTTTGGGTCTGGTGACCCTTCCTCAGAACTGGTAGAAGGCGTTTCCAGCAACTTCTGTTTTTCTTCCTGATTTACAGCATCCGCAGTTCTTTTGGTTTTTATCCAGCGTCAAGACAAGTAGCCAAATAGCAACATCCCCTCCTAAGTCAATGTATTTGGCATTGAGACAATAATCATTCCAAACCAGCTCCACTCTCCATTTGAAGCAGGAGACAGAGCTGTCCTTAAAGCATCTCTGAAGAGATCACCCACCCAGGCAGACTCTTAGGAGTCTGGCTTGTGGGTGACCACAATGAAGAAGGATCTTGCAGGAATACATGAAATGGGAGGCTCCTTTGGGAATGCACAGAGGCAAAATCATGTAAGAGCAGGCAAACATCCAAACAACTCATCTACACAACTCTTCAGGCTCCACCTGAACTATTTGTGACATAGTCTGTGGATCACCATTAGAATTATTAGTCATCTCAGAACTGGGATAGAAGAAAGTCATCCTTAATACCGAGTGAGATAGTAGGAACTGCCGATGCTGGAGATTCTGAGATAACAAAGTGTGGAGCTGGAGGAGCACAGCAGGCCAGGCAGCATCAGAGGAGCAGGAAAGCTGACGTTTTGGGTCGGGACCCTTCTTCAGAAATGCTGCTCCTCTGATGCTGCCTGGCCTGCTGTGCTCATCCAGCTCCACACTTTGTCATCTCTTAATACCAAGTGACTGTTGAAGCAGAAAGCAGCTACTGGAGCCTGTCTCTCTACAGCTACGGCAGCACAGGCACTGCATGGTAAGGAGGAGCAAAAGCTTGATGGAAGCATGTATAAAATGGCAAAAGCAGAGAGGCCACAGTTGCATTAATTCAGTTACATTTAGGCAGTCCAAAATTGTGTGGTTTCCTTTCAGCACTCCTCAGTTTCCTTTCCTCTCTCTTATGAAATCCAGCCAAGAGGAGAGGCAGTGTGAGATGAAATATGGATCTACTAATAAGAGCACAACCTTGTGCATGTCACATGGACCCAGTGACATTGAGACAGACACATGTGGCTATCAACAGCAGTATATAATGAGACTGTCAGCAGCAAACTGATAGTGCTCGCTGCGCGTATGGAGATTATAGATGAGCAAGATAATAAAAGGAAGACATCCATTATTCAGAGTGACCCACGTTGTGAACTTGGTAACCCAGTGAAAATCAATTGCTTTTCACTTTCTGCAGCACAGGATGATGCAGAAGAAGGGGCAGCAGATGTTGGCTGCCTCTTCTTTGTGAGAATGTTTACAAGAGTGATAAGGCACAGATGGGAATGTGATGTGGGTGTTTGCCATTTTTCTGGGGTCAGGTAGCAGCCATGGGTTGCAGGGGTGAAACTTGAAAATTCATCAGCACCGTTTTGATCTTGTGACATGCCACTGTGCGGGTAGCACTTCAGCATGTGTTACATTGATCCACATAAATCTGCAACGTACATCAGAAACAGGCAAGCCACATGCAAACTCCAACTCAATGCTCAGTTGACAAACAGCCAAGGAACTAATGTTATTTTAACACAAGGGTTTAAGCAATGTATACATACAGAGGTTTTTTTTATTTTGTTTTAGAAAGATGAAGTTTATTGATGATTTTCTGAATCTCAGACACTCCAACTGAACCATATGTTGCAGGTGCTACACTGTACAACTAATCCTACCATAATGGGCTTTCATTTCACTGCAGGTTACTGGGAAATAGCATTTTGTTTGTAAGTCAAAGATGTTTTGCCTGCTCGTGTTTAGAGACAATCCTGGCTTTCCTGAATCCCATTTCTCTCCTGGCCCCTACAATTTTTTTTTTAGCTTGTGGGATGTGAGTGGCCAGCATCCCTGACCACACTTGAAAAGGTGAATATGAGCCACTTTCCCAAACTGTTACGGTCTATTTGACCAGTGCCATTAGGGAGGGAGTTCCAGGATAATGACCCAGGATACTAAAGGAATGGCGACATAGTTTCAAGTCAGGATGGTGTGTGCTTTGGAGGGGAATGTGGTTTGCAGTGATGGCGTTGCTATGTATCTGCTGCCCTTGTCCTTCCAAATGGTAGTGGTTGAGTGTTTGGAAGGTGCTTTCTAAAGCGCCTCAGTGAATTTCTGCAGTGCATCTTGTAGAGTGCTGGTATGTGATTTGAAGGGGAACTTGAAAGTGGTATTATTCCCTTGCATTTGCTCATCCTGTCGTAGGTAATAGCAGTTGTTGGTTGGAAGATGCTGTTGAAGGTACCTTGGTGAGTTAGGGCAGTGTATCCTGTGGGTGGTACACACTTTTGTGACTGTGGAACAATGGTGGTATGTTTCAAGTGGTAGATGGGGGTCCATCAGGCAGGTTGCTTGTCCTGGATTGTGTCAAGATTCTTGAGTGTTGTTGGAGCTGAACTCAACCTGGCAAGTGGGGAATATTCCATCACACTTCTGACCTATGCCTTGTGGGTGGGCAGGCATTGAAGAGTCAGGAGTTGAGTTGCTTGTTGCAGAATTTCCCGTCTCTCATCTGTTCCTGTATCTGCTAACTATCAAACTGGAGAATACTTGTTCTGGTCCACAGCAGCACTCTTGATTGGTTTGATTCTACTTGGTGAGCAACTGCTTCTAGCCGATCTCCTGATCAAAAATTAGACCTAGTGATTAAACTTGAGTTCGACATGCTCTCCACTGTCCCTGGACAGTGGTTAAAATGGATACTAGCTTGTCATCTGTTTTCTGATGTGTAATGCTATGGGGTGATACATGTATCTAGAAATGTTAAAAGACCATTCGGTAAAGGCAGATGGTTATTTATCAGGCAGGTTTTGTGAAATACTACGAGATAAGAATTTCTAGCTTCGAGGTATAAAGGAGGTAGACAGTCCTGCTTCAGATCCTGTGTGGAATTAGAATATGACCACCATGACACATGGCATTTTAAACATTGGGACACTTTTTTTTGATAAATTGCACACGTAAATAATTTCACAACTGTAGTTTGATCTTTCCACCTCTTTGATTATTGCTGCCAGCTTTGGTTCATCTCTTCCTGAACTGAAGACTGGAGAAGGCTGATGAAAAGCTACTGCAGAGGCAGATTTTACAGTCAGCTTGATGCCTGTCTGCACCACACAGCTCAGCTTTTCAGATCAGCCTCCAGCAATCGTGTCAGCTCGGTTTTTCAGGTTTATCATTTGTGGTTTAGCATTCTCCTCAGCTGCATATCACGTAGGGAAAGGGACGTGAGATTGGTCCAAGTCAGTTGTGAAGAATCAGTTTGTAGTGCATCAGGAACCTGGTTAAGTAACTGCATGATTCTCGATTGTTTTTATGTGGTATAAAACAGGCTGCTATTTGACTGACCTGGGAAGCCCAAATCATTTGTCAGATGTTTGCACGTGGGTCTAAGGTTTGTTAATCATTCATGGTTAGTACATATGTTAACACAAGCACCCATACCATTTCATCATTTCATCAGGTTCATCATTTTCATTAAAAACAGCGAAATGTCCCAAATCTTCCTTCCTAACCCAGTCAACATTTTTAGCAAAATAATGCACCTGTACTGCACTACTACCATGCTTTAACAACTTTTCTGTAATGGAACCCAAAACTGGACACAGTACGACTGTTTTGACCAAAGTTGTTATCCATATTCATCTCATCTGTTTCTCTGTGTATTTTATTGATGAGTTCTATCTCCTTTGCCATGATGGGCTAAACGATTTTCTTCTGCACCTTCATAATTCTGTGATTCTGTGAACAATCTATATCTATATAAGCAGGTCACCTCTACTCTGATTTCCACATTACCGTTTAAGGTATACTTTTACTTCAGAAATGTGCTCCACATTGCCCTGCATGAAACTACATCTGTCACTGAAACACTTATCCTACTAGCTTACCTCTGTCCACCTGCAGTCTCTCACAATTCTTATCTAAATTCATTCTTCCCTTTAATCCCAGTTCCTGAGCTAGTGAAATCTGCAAAGTCGGACACTGTCCATTTCATCGAAAGAAAGAGAGATTTGCAATTTATAACTCTCTTCACAATCTCAGGATGTTCTACAGCCAATGTATACTTTATCTAAACATGTCGTAATCTACGTCCATATCAGTTCTCACCTCAAGATACTTTACTCCAAGTAGAAAACCTCAGCTTCTCCAACTTGACCTTGTTGGTTAAATCTCTTATTCCTGGAGCTATTCTGCTGAATCTCTACTGAGTCGCCTCAAGTACCATCCTATACTTCCTGATTATGGGATAGTCACATCTTCGAGCAGTTTTGCTTGGATATACGGATGGTTGAAATACTATTCATATTGTACAATGATATCTTATGTTTTTACTATTTGTTGCACCTGTACTGTGCAAAAATAAATCCATCGTGTACTTTTCAACACTGTGGAATCTTAATAATTATGGTTAAAGCTGCACGAATTAATGCAATTGCATTACCAAACGCATCAAATGATTAAAAGAGAGTTCGGGAGCCTCAAGGGATTTAGAAGAACACCCTCAGATTTCACAGTCATCTCTCTTAGGAAAATTTTTATTATGACCAAGAAAGTATTTATATATTAAATGATGCCTTGTGGTTGGATGGTGTGTTTAGGTTTTCAGCGCAGAATTGCAAGAAAATGTGTGTGCTGTCTGCTGCAGAAATACTGATTGCACTTTGTCTTTTGGGCAGATTCAGATGTATCAGCTGTCACGACTTCTACATGACTATCACCGGGATTTGTACAACCATCTTGAAGACAATGAGGTCAGCCCCAGCCTCTATGCTGCCCCGTGGTTCCTCACCTTTTTTGCCTCCCAGTTCCCACTGGGATTTGTAGCCAGAGTCTTTGGTAAGTAGGAGCTTCGTGTTCTGAATTTTAGCACTAACATACAACAAGAATACAACAAGAGAACCACGAGGCTTGGATAGGGTTAGCCAAAAAGCCTTGTTTTTGCAAAGGCCATGTACCATCTCTGGGTGTTAACTCCATTGCAACCACCTATAACCCTCCTGTGTGAAAGTTATTATAAATGCCTTCATTCCAATACATAACCACTGTCCAAGCGTACAGATTAGGAGCAGGAGTAGGCCATTTGGCCTCTTGACCTTGCATTGCCATTTAGTAAAATCATGGCTGAACTGATTATTATCTCATACGTTGTAGTATAATTACTGCTGCTTGTTATTAGTGTAGAAAGCTGCCACCAATCCTTCTTTCTAGATACTTTTAATCTATGCTGTGTTTAAGGGGTGAGCAGGTGGGACTTGAACGTTCTGACCTGGAGTTAGAGACACTACCACTGCTTCACAGTGCTCTGCTGAGTCTGAGGTTTATCTAATCAGCAATGATGCAGGATAAAACACTATTGAGGTCTTAATAGTGTGATAGCAATATGTATAAGTTATGTAGGCAAGTTAGGCATAGTTACAAAAATGATCAAGTGTCAGAGGAGACATGTCTGTCTCCATCAGGGCCTTGTGCTAGTCTGGCTTTTTTCACCCACTGACTGTACGACATCATCAAATTAGGTGGAGCTGAATACATTTCAACATTAACGCTTTGAGAACTGTTACCTTATCTCCCACTAGCTATTTTTACCACTTAGATGTATTTCCCATATTTATAAATTTAGACATGTAACTACTTATACATCTAATACTATCCCATCTCTTCACAAGTCTCCACCTTCACAAATTTAGGCACCTGAGGTTTCAGAATTCTTCCATGTTGCACTCTGTTTGGAATTGAGAAAATTACTGGGTCTTTGGATCAAAGTCTGTTGATCTTGATCCTTATCTCAATAGAATCCGTACAGTGTGGAAACAGGCCATTCGGCCCAACAAGTCCACAGCAACCCTCCGAAGAGCATCCCACCCAGACCCATCCCTGTACCTTTTGCCTGTAACCCTACATTTTCCATGGTTAACGCACTTAACCTACAAATCCCTGTACACTATAGGCAATTTAGCATGGCCAATCCACCTAACTTGCACATCTTTGGACTGTGGGAGGAAACCAGGGCACCCAATGGCAACCCACACAGTCACAGGGAGACGTGCGAACACCAGACAGACAGTTGCCTGGGGGTGGAATTGAAGCCTGGTCGCTGGTGCTGTGAGGCAGCAGTGCTAACCACTGAGCCAGCGTGCCGCCCTTATCTTTCCTAAATCATTTCTCCACCAGAGGATCTTTTATGTCCTGTGTGTCCTTCACAGAGGATGTCATTCCTGGCAAACCCATTGGTCACTTTGTTCAGGACCTTTATCGAAAAGAATATTAATCTTCTGAAATCCCTTTTGCAAGTGAACATTTCCCTGCTAACTCAGTTCGCTGTCTCATCACCTCATCTGGGGGACACTTAGTCTTATGAATGCACATCATGGAAGACAACTGCTCTACTATAGTAGGTATTTTAATCTTGGAAGAACCCTGGATTTTCAGACCAGCAATTTCTTCTTTTTGACCATATCTTGAAGCTGTGGATGTTAGCCTGGCTTCTATAAAATTGCATGCGTCTCATCCCCATTTTGTTCAAGTAAATCTTTATATTTAATCTGCTGATAGGTCTGTGTTGAAGTATTGAAGCTCTCCACTTCAACTCGTCCAGTATGTTAGATGTTTTCATTGGTCTTTTGTGGATGTTCTCTTGGTGAACTAGACATTTTCACATCCTTCATCATGGTGCGAGAAGGCTTTTGCTTACTTTAACAAATCTTTGTCACTGGTACAGATAATTCTTCTTTAAAAGACAAAGGACTGAAACGTTGTTCTTTAGCTTTGTCTTATCATCTTACATCAAAGTCAAATTTGCTGATTAATTTTGTATAGCATATGATTGTGCTGTTTAAATTACTTCAGTTAGAGATTCATCAGTGTGCCCTCAAGTCAGTTGTCCAGTTCATCTTTGTTCCGAGTATTTGCTTCATTTGAAAAACTTTTGGTTCTTCCTGTCTTCTGATTTGTCTTTGGTGCTGATTAGAGTGAAAAATATTTCCAAAACTCCTATGAAGACAGTAAATTCATCCCTGTTAATGACCTGGAATAATTCTCCTATGCCAATGTAGATAACTTCAATAAATTATTTCTTCTTGGGTTCCTCCAAGAGTTTAGAAAGTCCAAGGAAACCTTATACAAGTTGCGCTAGCTGGTCAACAATGGTTTGTTTCTAAATTTGTTGTTCTTTTGGAGCTAGTTGAACTCCTGTGGTCTTAAGGATGTTGAGGTAAAAACATGCATACAGACTCAGAAGTGAGAACTATTGATTGTGAACTACATATACATTTTCAACTCTCTTAGGTTCTTTGTGTTGCAGTGCTACTTGTAACATACATTTGCTCTTGAAAATTCTTCTACATGGAGCATGTAGTGTTATCTTCATAGGCTGCAACTTTTTTTTCTTCAGACATAGCATTTGATCTGACAGACCAGTGATACTTGCAACTGTACTAAGCTTAAAATTAACAGGATGTCCTTTACGTAGATCGGCTCTGTCTAGTTTGAATCAGTTGCATCATTGGTTTCTCCTAGGAATGCTGCAGGTATCTTTCCAATGATGATTATTTTACCGTGTTCATCTGTTTGCTTGTGTAACTCCCATCACATTTGCTGTGCTGAAATTGTGTTGTACCTCTGCCCATCTTCTGGAAATGACTTATAGCTTTACATATGCACTTCTTTGTTATACCTGGGCACTGATTATGCTAATATAACTTCCTTGTCCCACAGCACTGACACCGACTCTTTGTATCTGCTGACTGGCCTAGTCTTTGTGGTGATTTGTTACATGTATCAGTAGAATGTCTTATACCTTAAAATTGGATAGGTTTAATTGGTCTCCTGCAGCATAGTTGTCTCACATATCTCAGAATATATCTTGAGTCCTTCTGGCGTCAGCTTGTAACATTCTAACATAATTTGAATAGTTTTCTCCAAAGTAAAATATTCTTTGGATGCTATAAATCTAACAGGGACTTGCCAATAATTCAGACAACAATTTTGTCTATTTATATTCTGCTTTTAAAGTTCCAATGTAACAGGTCTCCACTAATCTGTAAAAGTCATTTATTAAATGATTAAACTAAATTAAATCTTGCTGTTTTAGAAATTATTTGATTTCAAATTGAAGTACTGAAAGCTGGTAGAACTTCATCAAAAGTGTCAGTGTCTTCTTTTATATTTAGGAAATTTATAATACTGTAGTAGCAGTTTAGCTTGAGATTTAGTATCTAATCTTGAAACTATTCTTAATCCCAAGAATTGTTTTCTCCAAGATTTCCAATGTTGCATTTTGTTTAGCTTTCTCTGGCCTTAAATCTTGATTGCAATATTATTTATCTTCCCATTTCCTTTTAATGTGATTATTTATTCTTATTACATGAAAGCTGTTTTAAACCTGTTGCATCTTAATGCTGTTGTTCTATTTTCTTTAAAGATCTAATTATCCCCCAATAGATAAATGGTAATGATTTAAAGCTTGTGGTCTAGCATTAAATTAGTGCTATTTTAATTCATTAATATTAAAATATCTTCAAATCTTTAAAATCTATGAAACAGCAATTTCGTTGTATTTTCTTTGTCTATGAGCACTTAAAGTCTTATTGTGGTATAGTAGTGTTTCATTCTAAGAAAGCTTTATATTTTGTATAATAGTATTGCTGTAGTGTTTATTTTTAACATTCAAATTCTTTTTTGTAGCAGTACTGTATCTCTGTACTGCTCACTGGGATTTTTCCTGCTTTTTTCCTGATCAAAATTGTGGTTTCCTGCCTTCTGCAGATTTCCCACCTTTCATGGCCGCATGTAAAACTACAGGTCATTTCCAGAAAATAGACAGAGGTACAACACAATTTCAGCACAGCAAAAGTGATGGGAATTACACAAGCAGACAGATGAACACGGTATAATAATCACCATTAGAAAGAAACCTGAAGCATTCCTAGGGGAAACCAATGATGCAACTGATTCAAACTAGACAGAGCCGGTCTATGTAAAGGACATCCTGTTAATTTTAAGCTTATTTTTGGTGCAAGTAACTCTGAGGTGAAGGCTTTTATTTGGAGAGTTTTGCTTGCTCTGCTATTCCCTCCGTGTGTGCTGCTGACATCTTATTGGTTTGCATTCTTTCAACTGCTGTCTCACTTCTGGATATTTTTTCTCTTGGGTTGAATCAATTTTTTTCACCCTTGTAACCTTAACCAATGATCTCCACTGCTGATCATCAAGCCATATGTTATCGAGTCATAGAGATCTATAGCACAGAGACAGGCCCTTCGGCCCAAACTGGTCAATGCCGATTAAAATGGCCATCCAAGCTAACCCCATTTCCCTGCACTTGGCCCATATCTTTCTAAACCTTTCCTGTCCACGTATTTATCCAACTGCCTTTTAAATGTTGTTAATGTACCCACCTCAATCACTTCCACTGGCAGCTCATTCCATATGAGTACCACCCTCAGGGTAAAAAGATTGCTCCTCAGATTCCCATGTATTCTTTCCTCTCTTAATTTAAACTGATGCCCTTTAGTCCTCAATTCCCCAGCCCTGGGAAAAAGACTGAGTGCACTCACCCTATCCATGTCTCTCATGATCTTATACCCTTCTATAAGATCCCCCCTCAGTCTCTTACGTTCTAAAGAAAAATGTCCTAGCTTGTCCAACCTCTCCCTTTAACTCATTCCCTTGAGTCCTGGCAACATCCTTGTAAATTTGTTCTGCACTCTTTCCAGTTTAATAACGTCCTTCCTATAGCAAGGTGACCGTAACTGAACACAATACTGCAAGTGCGACCTCACCAATGTCCTGTACAGCTGCACATAACTTCCCAACTTCTATATTCAATGCCATGACTG